GTTTTAACTATTCAACATACTGAAAGCTGCTCGGCTATCACACCATTAGACTGGAACAAACTGACAAATCAATTTCATCAAGGAGATGACTTTTTGCGGGGGGAGGGGGGGGAAAAAGGCAGGTCTGCCAATCGACAAATCCCTGCATTTCTCACGCAGGTGGTTGGACAAAAGCTGAGTGCACCATCAAAGGCATCTTATATCTACCAAATGCCTTTGTGCAAAATTAACTCCCACAATTTCCTTAGGAAGAGCTCTAAATGTTTTCAACAAATCTTTTTCACATATACAAACTAAGTTATTGAAAAGTGAAAATACTTTTAAATTCCTTCACTTCTTGCTTTGAAAGGAAAGGTATGTTTTAATTAAAACCAACCAGAGTAGGCAACAATGTCAATAAATAATCATTAACCAATTGCAAGAAAGACAGTGAACAATACAGCATATAAAAATACATTGCTTTCTATGAGAGGAGGGTGCAATGCTTACTGTTAAGAGTCATTTTAACCAAATAGTTTTAAAATAAATAATGATTTGGTCGCTAACAAGAGGAGAAAAAAAACTTCACTGTTGGAAGCTTACAGTAATTTCATGTCCTACTGACAACAGGTTTCTGGTTGATTCTTTCTCTTTAGTTAATGCAAAATGCAGGTAGCCAAAGCCAAACATTTTATTTTAAAACTGCACCTTTTAAAAGTATGCTCAGGCTATGAAGGCTCTAAAACTTCCTGATTTTCAGTTAGAATTTAGTGCAGTGCAGGTCTACTGCATGAAGAAAACCTGACAAAATGCAGACGTTACATATTTGGTATTTTGATTCAGCCTGACATTTTAAAACTTCATGCTACGGTTCCAGGAAACCTTTGGAAGCTCAAGAACTGCTCATTTAAGTTATAGACTCTATACAACAAACTATCTGAGGAGCTTTCCTTCCTGATTGTCCAAAGAATGAAGCATTGAACTAGTCACCACATTAGAATTAAGATTCACGAACAGTTAAGGGTTGATGTAAATGTCTTCATTAAATGTCTGCAAAAATTAAAACGTTGCCAAAATTACTGCCATACCAGTAAATTAAAGCATGTTTTCTCTTTTTTTTTTTTTTTTTAAGAGCCTCACTTCAGATCTTATATCTGTTGTTAAAGATATATAGCTTTATTTGGAAACCAGTTTTAAAATGTTTAGAAAATTTTTATACTTCTTATTGGTTTAGATTAACAATTTTAGGAGTATTTTTGCTCTAAGCACTTGAACAAAGTAACTGTGAGAAATGAATGGTTTTCTTTTCAAGAACTGCCTTTTTTAAAAAAAAAAATCATTCCGGAGTTCCGTGTACTTTAAAACACTCAGTAAGAGATGCTGCAAGATTAAAAGCTCAATCAGAAGAGACTGAATCTAATTGCAATTACAGAATTAAAAGATTTTCCTTCCTAACACTTCCTACCTCTTTAGAGCTCTTATCTTTATAAAATTCCATGGACTGAAGCAGCACTCTTATCTGTTGCAGAAACAAAGCCCTTCTATAAAGAATATTGCATCCCAAAGAATTTTAGCCACAACGTCATACTGATCAACTGACAGTTTTTCCCTGTTTATGAAAACTACCACTTTAAGTCACAGGATTAAAGAATCACTGAAAAATTAGATCTCAAACTATTTAAGATTTCAAAAGATCAGAGCACTGGGATAGGTTCAGAATCAGGCAGGGGACACAGGCAGGGCAGGAGGAGCTGCCAATTGTCTTACTGGCCTGCCCAACTGCACAGACCTGGAGCTTCGATGTGGCCCCTACAAAGTGGAACTTTTCAATTGCACCTCCCACTGCAGCCATTTAGCAATCGCTTGTCCCCAGTAATCTACCACCTAGAAAGGCAATACAGGCAAACTTTGCAAGACAGCTATATCTTCCCTAGAGTGCTGTTTCACCTTTTTGCTTATTCCACAGAAATTGGCTTGTAGTTATCTTGGTAAGAAATAGGAACCCGAAACCAGATACTGGAATTATATAGCCTAAAGAAAACAAAAATAACAACAAAGTCAAGGATGAACATGGGTAACTGTAGATCTAGGAAAGAAACCTTTTTGTTTTGATCATCTGAAGGGAAAGATTTTTATATAACAGTCACCAGGGTACCTAGGACCTGTGTGTTCCATTTATCAGGAATGGAAACACCCTGAAATCTATTTCAAGTGAAGCATCTCTTCACAGAAATGTACTATCAATACTTTCCATTTATCCCATCTCTCAAAGAATACTTAAAGAAATTCGAAGCTCCTATGTTGAACTTGAACTACTTTTAGTGCTAAACCCGTATTTTAAGATTTCCAATCATAAAAGTTCATTTCCCAAACAAACAAAACCAACCCACCCATTCACCAAACCCCAAACAAAAGCCCTGCAGGAGGCTCCAAGTCCAGAGAAAACTAAGACAGAAGTTAGTCCAAGTTGTCAAAGCCACTGCCAGGGAACAGGTTAGAAGAGAACAACACTACCACAGACACACATGGCACTTGGAACGACGTGAAGGTACAGAAAACAATAAATCCCATTTGCAAGCATCCAACGTAATATTTTTCCATCGTATTTCCATGCAAAACCCTGGAAGATACCATCTTTGCATTTTCTAAAGTCACACATGGAATTATAAACAGTTGATGCAGAAGCTATTCTATCCATTAACACCACTGCCATGAGAAAAAGATACAGGGATGCTATGGTAGAAATTATACACCCATAAGGGAGGCCTAAATCCGCATTTCTCAAACCACCACAGCCATTGTGTCAATTTAGTTCTACCTACACCTTTGTAACATAAAGGTCACTTGTTAAAAATCTTACTTTAAAATACTCTTACTTTAAAATACACCACTCCAGTGTGGTTTTTTTAATGCCTACTTCTGATGTGTTGCATTCAAAATGTATATTTGCAATTTTTTAAATTATTATTTTTTAGTACCTTGCCATTACCCTTCCATTTTCCAACTAAGGTCAGAGTCCAAACTAAGCTTGTTTACAAGATTCCTCTGACCTACCTTTCAGGCATTATGTTTTTGGGAAAGAATCATGTTATTTCAGTAATATTTATTATAGTGACATTAAAGGCAGATATATTTAGAGCAGTGTTAAAACACAAAGACATAAGGGAAAAAACAACAACAAGTAACCCAGACTTTTAATAAGCTCCTTGTGAACAGAATATTTAGTGAAAACTTTTTCTCCCTTCATTCATTACTGTGGTAATATTTCTCTAGTCTGGGTTGTGCTACTTATTTCTTTTTGCACTACCCCATCCTCTGTCGCAACTCTAAACCAATCCACCCTCAGGGCTTCTCTCAGCATTCTATGTACAAGGTCCCTTCCAAAAAATGTAGATTATTTTCCCAGTCCTGATGAGGTATTCTGTACGCATAAACTATGTTTCACTTTTTTCCTTCTGATAGCCAAAAAGAGAAAAAAGGAAATTACAAATAAGCATACATGATAGATATTCACAAGTCTGATCATCAGTGAAATGCAAGAGCTTTACTTTTATCAAGGAAGAAAACTCAGTCAACAAGGAAAGATACATAGAAAAGACAACTGGCTAACAGCAAGGAAAAGAAAGATTTGCCACAGAACATGATTTCCACTGAGCATGATGCTACATTTCAAAAAGCAAATGCATATGGAACTACCACTATTATTGAAAATGTTCTATGATCAGGACCTCTCTTGTATGCAATGCCGTTGGCTACAGAATAAACCCTTTTCAAGAATCTGAAGTGGAAGTGGTTGTTCATTTATTTTTACGTTTCTTACTTTTCTAAAGCCACCCAGATAAGAACCACTCTCACTGGTAACCTCCCTGACTTTACACAAAGCCATTCTGAGATACACAGGAGTGCCACATTCATGTCAATGCCATATTAACTTTGAACCCTGGTAAGTGCTCAAATGTTAACATTAGATGGGATTTTCAAAGGTGCTTAGGCAATTAAGCAATTTTATGATTCCAAAATGCACCCCTGAAAGCCCAAGGCACTGTCAACTGCTTTACTGCTGATCACCTCAGCAAAAACATCCAAGCAATGTATCTACGCTGAAATTCCAAATTTCTTCTCACTAAGTCAAAACAACCCTTAACTTTTTCCTTGCCTTTCTTCTACCTTGAATATTGATATAGTTAACCTTTATGCTGGCAATACTGTTGCAAGGTAGGGAAGTGCTGTTATTTCCATTTTATGTGTCACGTCAGTCCAGACAGAGCGGGACACAGGAACTGTACATTGGCCCTCAATAACTCAGTCATAGTTTGTGAATTAAAAATATCTGTGACTTGCCTAGAACTTAAAGTGTGAGCTCAGCACATGTTCTTTTTAACAGCAAAGAAAGCACTGATTGTATTATTCACATTGAAAAAAGATACTCCATTTTTTAATCTAAATGAAGCAATTATGAAGTTTATGGCCTGCCACACCACAGCATGCAGATCCAAACTTCTTGCTTGTTAGACATTACTTCTTCTTGAAAACCTCTATTTGTTAGACATTACACAATGCCCCACAAATACCCATTCGGAAAGCCACATACACACAAGGGGGAAAAAATTCACAGATCCAGAAACAATGTAATTGAGGGGTACCCACAGAACCAAAGAAACAGCAAGTTTTTGTAGCAAGTGTAAGATGTCCACAAGTACATTACAGTGTAACCATTAAGAGGAATACCAAGTCACATGGCATACACACAGCAGTAAGAAAGTCCTATCCAGACAAACTAATTCTGATACCTTAGTCAAAATTAGGTAACTTTGTGTTAAGCTAAATGCCCAGCTTTCAAGACATGTTAATTCTAGAGAGAAAGAGTTCCTTTTTCGCTTACCTTCAATTATTTTTGCCCCAAACAGTTAAAGCATATTCATCTTATCTGGAAACTAGTATCAAAGCAATCCTGTACAAATCTCTAATTTATTAATACAGCAGGCAAAATTGAAAAGCATTTAACGAGTGACTGTTCTTACCTTCAGCACAGCAATAAATGGTACAAAATTAGCTCTCTGAAGACCATTTTTATAGAGATCTGAAAGAAAGGAAATCAGTACCATTTTGCTACTTAGTCTTAATAACAATGTCAGCATGTCTTTTAGTCTGGCAAATAAAATTCTGTGTTGCTAGAGAGGGAAGGAACAAAAGGGGAAAAAGGAGAGCTGAAATTGATTTCTCTTCTTTTGCTGTATGAAAATTCAATACATTCTTAAGGAAGAAAGCAGCATCCTGAGAAAGTCTGAAAAAGGCAGGGAGTGAAAGATGACTTAAATCTCTAACAAGATATAACTGATTTTAGCAGAAGAAATAAGGCCAGCATCTATTTTAAAGTAAGGATAAAAAAAAAAGGATTTGTAATGCTGGGCATACGCTGGTATGATTATAAGGCCAAAACTACACAATTGCTAAGTCCCAAGGGTATTTGGTAGAGGGGGAAAAAACCTAAAATATGCTATTTGAGTTTACAAAGTTAGTATCGGTCTTATTCAGCCTCCTGTGGTACACTATCTTCTAACAATTCTACTAGGTACACCCTTTCTCCAAAGCAAGAAAAAGGGTCATCCCTAAGGAAAGAAAAAAAAAGTGAATATGAGAAGTTACGCAAAGTTGCTAAAGTTACATCTGAATTTAAACAATATATATATTAGGATGTTATGTAACAAGGCAGATCTGCAGTCAAAGAAAATACAAGTGAATAAAAAACAAACTGCAAAGCAGTATTTTATATCTTATTTATCTCTATATTTTATACAGTATTAAGTTCTCATCTCTGGAAACTATTCAAATCCCCAATATGTTCATAACAGAATGACTTGTTCATCAAAAATGTTATCACTTAAACTGTACGATGGGCTGCTCTGTTTCATCAGTATTACGAAGGCTTATAAAAAGTCAGTACAGCACCTATTTCTGGCAGGAGGAATAAGTAAGAGAATACAGACACCTGACAGAGGCATCACCAAAATCCCCATGAAGACAATGTCAGGTTATTAAGACCACCTATATTGCCCATCATGCCTGAAGGCTACAGCTAGGCTAAAGCTCCTATGCTCTACCAACACCACGGTGGACAGAGGATACAGTCAGTATACCTGAGAAACCAACAGAATTCCTACAGAATGACTTTCACAAAATCGGATACATACACAGAAACAGTTAGGAAAATGATCAGTGAACGTGATTCTGCACCCTAGTTACTAACAAAAGTTGTACGAAGCCATGTCTCATTCTCATTCATAATTCTACAAATCACAATAGCTACACATTTGTTAGAAGAGCAATCAATTGCATATTTACTTGCAAAAAATTAGCGAACATGTAACAGTACTGTAAGACAGCTATTTCTGTTAGCTCTTTAGTTAATAAGGCTGTGAGGCTGTGTCTTTGTTTTGTGAGGATGAGAGAAAAACCCAGTAATTTTGGTGAAGAACTGAAGCCAGTATTCCTCAAACACTGCACCTCAGTATTTCCTCTCATACTCCCCTGCGGCAGAAGTTTAACGTGGTTAAGCATATCTCTAATGGTCAGCAGCTGGGTACATCTGCTCTCTAATGTAAAAGCCACTTTTCTCCTTTGTATCCACAAGAAATGAATCTCTCAATTCACTCTTAAACCTTGATGCAGCACACTACACTAACCCACCTCTCTCTCCTGCAGGAGGATTTCAGACACATGCTGTAAGCACGCAGGATTAGTGAGAAGGGGAGAAGCGACAGGCAGTGAGCAACATCTGGACTGCAGTAACAGCTCAGTTCTGGAGATGCCATTCTTGACATTCTCTGTTGGGTAGCTAGTATAAGTGGATGTCTTTCAGGTTGACACAGTGACTTAATATGTATTAAAAAAAAAATCACCATACGGCGATAATGGTCACAAACTGATATCTCAGTTTAAGATGTGCAACACAATCCTCAAGTCATGATAAAAATCTCTCCTGAACTTTGAAGAGCAGTGCTTCAAAAAAAACAAGGATTGCTCCCAATCAAGTAAGGCACCTGTGTCCAGTTCATCTGTAGTACTACAGTAATTACAATTTCATCTTGTTTACTCAAACAAAGAAAATAAACAAATGGGAAATTATTTTACTAGAGGGGAAAACATTTCTTCTCTTTATCTTAAAAAAAAAGTGCATTGTAAATCTTTACTGATTCTCTTTTACTCAATTCGGGTAGAAAAATTAACTGGTAGTTATTAACTACAGTTAACTAGTATTTATTAGTTATTAACTACTATTAACTAGTAATAGTAGTTAATACTGTAACTTTAGTATTTTTTGCAAATATTTTAAATTAATCAATCTAAAGTGTCATAAATGTTGCATATATGCATTACGCTAACTGCTAATGCTATACTGTAACAAACATTTTTCTCCTCTACAAAAAATTACAATTACTGCTTGGTTAAAAGCCATACAGATTTGGGGACTTTGTAGAAGGATCTACCTAGCTACTCACTCTCTATCGAAAAATACTGTTAGAAATGGAATTCTAAGTAATTCCCAATGAGTGACCTCAAACCAGGCTGTGAGAATGATAAGGGGTTCTTTGAGCTGGTTTCTGAGTTAGAAACCAGGAAGGAATGCACTCTCATTTCCTCTCTCTTCTGCAGAATATGTATTCCAGGATAGGAAAAGATCATCCAAAACAGAGGCAGCATTTCAGCCCTCCTCAACTCCCCTGTCCCCACATTGGTTCAGATAGGGAAGATCAGAAAATACAGAAGGATTTGGGGGGAGAAACACCTTGAGTTTGAGAGAAGAGAGGAGTAACACTTAGTGAGAAACCGTTATTCCTTAAGAACAAAAAAAAAGGGGGGGGGACACGGACGGACACACAAATTAGAGTATCTCAGCTTCCTGAAGACTACAGAGTTTATTAGTATTAGATACCGTACGATTGTAATACGATGTTTTGTAAGATACTGAGATTCACTGTATTTGGATAATACCAGTAGCATGTTTGTTTTTACCTTCTGGCGGCCTGTTAGATGTTGCCACAACGACAACCCCATTTTGGAACAGATTTTCAAAAAGCTGCTTCAGAATCATGGCATCAGCAATGTCAGTGACCTGTAGAAGACAACACATTTGTTTTATCTTGCTTTCAGCTTCTGCCGCAATAGATCTGCAAGTGGCTTTGTAGCAAGGAAAAATGCTTGTTAGTGAAAGCCACGGAGAAAGATTCTAATTATTGCTTGGTGAAAAAAAATAAAAGGGATAATTAATAAGCAGTGAATGTACCATGGTCTTTCAAAACTTGCCCACTCTTTATTGCGGAACTCCACCATTTCTTTACCAATTGCTAAATGATTCCATGTTAACTTCTATTATAAAACTACAGGTGGGAGACACAGAAAATAGACCTAAACATTTAAAAGGCCTAATTAATTAGAAACAACATGAAAAAAACAGAAGACAGAAAGGAAATACACACCGGCTGTTTTACATTTCTATTACCTTTGAGGCAAAGGTTTGCAGAGGTGAATTTAAATGGTCACGGGACTTCAGAAATAAAGACAAGTAGCCAACTATACATAATCAGCTGCTGTTGAAAATAGAATGATATGACATAGATACTATTGTGTGATTGTTGCAAAAAACAATTCAACAGATGGCCCATCACAAAAATAAGCAATTTCATTGTTCTTTTTAAGTGCCTTCTATTACTGTCCATGAATAATCAAAAGGCACGGCAGTCACTTCCAGCACAGTCAGCCTCTTCTAACCTTCAGGCACAAAACACGAACAAAAAATAAAAATGGGTGGGACAACTGATACTGGGGAGGGGGAAAAAAAAAGAAAGAAAAAAAGAAAAAAAAAGATACATACTAAAAAATAAGCCATAAAGTAAAATTTCTTTAAATATCTAACTTTAAGTTAAACTTGCTTTACAGTACCATGAAATAAAGGAAACAGAAACCACTCTGTACAAATAAAAAAACGTAATAAATTTTTGTGAAAAGAGCCCACTGTTACAACAGCAACTTATATTTTACAGGACTTCACCAGCTGAGATCAGCAATCCTAATAAGTAAACCATCTTTATTATTGTTACACTTGTTTCTCCTGCATTCCCTTTGATTATTATATAGTCACTTGTTGCATTTTGACTTACCAAAACAGACCCCAATTCTGAGGAAGGAAAAAAGCGGTGGCATGCACTCAAGACACAACAGATGGCTTTCACCAATTTAGATGTGTATGTTGTGATACACCTACAGAAAGACTTTAATCACCACCACTCCACCCACCATCATATCCCCATTTCCAAATGACCTTTCTGGGCAGCAAAAAAAATTAATTCTACACTACAGACAGTAAAAGACTTAGGTTACATTTCTGACAGCTAGTTTGGAAGCAATAATGTTCATAAGGAACCATATGTAAACACTAGTTTCCTTGTTCCAAAGATGATTTTTAATTAATTCTATGGAATGCATTAATATGGATTTTTTTTCCTTTTTCAAAACCAAACTTTTACACAATCAGTAACCTACTCCTCAGATTTTCACATCTCTTATCACTAAGATATGATACGCCAAAAAGCATGTAGTAATTCACTATTGTACCATATGTCTAATACATCTGCTTATGCACTCACCTATCAATACTTTATTTCTTCCTAATACTAAAATTTAGGAACTTTCTCTGTTCCTAAAAAGCAAGGCACACAAGGAATCAGTACATATGTGCATTTTAGGGGTAACTGTATTTCTTGTATCACAAAACAAACCTAATAGCCAAGTTTTACAAATGTATTATCTAAATCATTTTGTTACAAACTTTTTTGTTTAAAAATACTATAAGGCATGCTACCTTCAGAAAACAGGAAAGGAAAGAATATTGATGCTCACATAAAAGAAAACAATAACATTCTTCTATTAATGAGAACTGTTTTTTGATGCGGAATTCTGATGTTTTCAACTCCATTACAAAAAAATTAACTCTCGAAAGTTCTGTCAAAAAGCAAGAGCCATTTTGAGAATTAGGATGCAAATATGTGCTCTTTTTATCTAATCAGCTTGGGAAAGACACAAAATTTCTGTAAGGTAAAGCAGGTAGAAGACAGTAACTAAAGCATTGTAATTTCTCATGTTTTTTTACTGTATCCAGCTTTCATTGCAACAGGGAACAAAAGCAAAGGCTACAAATTACCAATAAGGAGAGCCTGCTAATGGAGAGAATGGAGAAATTTCATTAGCATTTAAGAGAAAAGATTTTTATGACCTAGTGCTGCTTTCCATTATGACTCACGTAAAAAGAAAAAAGAAAAAAAAAAGAAAACACACTAGACTAATAGTTAATTTACATGTGTAAGTGCCTGAGACTCAGTCATCCACTGATTGGTACAGTTCCATGTAATGAATGACAAACATAAGCATGTATTATCAGTAATTAGTATTAGCACAAAAATAAGAGCCTAATTTTTATTAGAAGCTTTTAATAGCATGCAGGTTAGTAAAAACTCCCTAAGTTGCAGTTTGCTTTAAGTCCAAGTGGTACCGATGATATCTATAAAGACTAACACTGTGTGATCATCCAGCTAACCAAGAAGTAGGGATTCTGTTTTCATTATCCATACTAACATAGGTTACAGTCACATGCCAAAATGAGAGCTTCTAATTACCTGTGTATAGTTATCTGATCGCTAAACAATAACTAGTCTCTTTTTATTGGCCAACCTCTGTGTTCTGAAACATCAAAATTATAAACAGCTTAATTCTAGGGTTTTTCTTCAAAAAGGCAACACAATTTTAGAACGGCTTGAGACTTCCATGATTAAAAAAAGACTTAAATATTTACAGTCAATTGTATGACAAAGATCAGTAAGAAGTAGCAATGCTTCAATAACCCCAGAGCCTGTGGCTCAGGCAGATGCTGATGAAACACCTGCTTCAGAATGGACAAACTCAGAGGCTTAGTGCCATCACTAAGGTCCCAGCTATCCCACAGTATTTGCAAAAAGAAACATTCGAGACATAGTAATTTGGGGTTTTTAAATACAATAATATTTTAGAACACACAAAACTATTTTAAAAAGTACTGAAATATTTTTCCGCACCAATTACTCAACTCTCCGCTCTGAAGGTTCTCTAGGCTTTGTGACAAGATTCACTTCTGAGTACTTCTGTTTTGCTTTAGCCCACTATCAGATCAGAGGAACATACAACCTCAGCAATGCTTTTGTCTTTTGAAGTTCTGCACTTGGTCTCCTCTGAAATATGACCATTAACATTACTTTTTGCTGTCCCTGTTACAGTATCACTCATCCCGTGTCTGATCTTCAGATAAATAATTAAATTAATTCAGCTTATCCTCTTCCCACCCACCCCCCCCAACAGGCATTTGAAAGCAACCTGAAGTGTTTCAAGCAAATCTCAGTAGTTTTTCTGATATTTCCACAACACACAAGTATTTTGCCAAGGAAGTATAGACAGCTTGACCTTCCAGCTATCAAAAAGGACAGTAGCTTTGTCTATAAGCCAGAGTATCATGTTCTGAGTCTCCAGCTCTTTCCAGTTTCATTTTAATCTTGCAATTCTTTAAATATGAGTGAATCAGACTGCAGTGAAATCTGGTCATTATCTCCACTACAGATATGAGCTGTGAACATCCTGAATTAGATATGACTCCTTATTATCAATGTTAATTGTGTCACTATGTGAGCTACTCTTCCAGCCACTGCACTACTTCATGACTATTTAAGTAGAAGGTTTCTCCTCCCAAATTCAGTGCCTTCTGCAGGATTTCAGAAAGCTGGGACTCCTCTTCAGCAAGCAAAGCTTGTGTAGCTTTCCACGCTACAGAAAGTCAGTCAAAAAATCCAGCTATTGAAAAATCTGTGAGTTTAGAACATTAGTATACCCAGAACAAGTAGATTTTAAAAATTCACATAAGAATGCAAAGTCTTAGATACACATTTTAAAGTATAGTTCTGCATTGCTTTCCCAATTGTGACCCACCGACAAAAACACAGGTGATTTTTTACAACTGAAGCAATTGATGTACCTCAAGCAAGTCAGCAGGGGGAGCAGGCAATCAATTTGGAAACAAAATCTACCAGAGTCTCTCCCCTTAAAATGTACACGACAGTCTGGAAACACAGCAGCACAGGATATGAAAGCAGTGGACATTTATATAGAAAAGCAGATATTTACACTAATACATGGTACAGCAAAGATGCCTCTTTCTACCATTCCAGCATTTGATGTCATGACAGTTAACACTCCTCCCTGCCCTCTCCAAACCTTCCTATTTCTTCATAGTGTCAATATAACTGTCTCTGTATTTAGATTTTATACTGCAAGTTTTGGAAGCCCAGCATTCATATTCAGTAGGTAAAGCACAACTGAAATGATCAAACAGCATCAATTGCTATGACTCCACACATTCTGAAATTGTAGATCAAAGGACTTTCCCTTGTTGAAAAATGCAAGAGTAGCTTAAAACAAAAACGCCTACTACTTTACAGTTACAAAATCCACTTCATGGGAGCTGATCATAAAGCAGTTATTTTCTCGGGTGCACAGGCTTGTAAAATAATAGCTAGGAGATATAAATTGTTCTATCCATTTCAGTAATGTATGAATTCAAGAGCATAACACAGAGAATTTACAGTAAATATTCTTTTGCTATTAGTGATTTGAGAACAAAAACAGATCGGTTCTTACCTAGCTCTGTATTTTCTCTCTGAATTAAAAAAATCTTAGCTGATTAGAGCTGCCAAATATCTCTAGCCTCTCTCCTAAAAATTTTTATAAAGCAATTCTCCACTTGAATTTGTGACATGCCCTTAAAACAAAATTCACAAGCTGTGTAAAACAAACAAACCAACCAAATTAGCTTGGGCAAAGATCATTTTATGAGTTTATTTTTAATTTTCACATTTAATTCAATAAAAAAATTCTTAAAATGTTAGTTACATTGATATAATCTGGCACTGCCATGCTAAAGGCTCCAATAACTCTAGGGAAGAATTTAGGTTGAATTTGACATGTTATTTCCACGTCCTTAACACCAAGACTATTTTGTTCCATTATATGAACTACAGCAAAGACCAGGCATGCCAAGCAAGTATCAGGTGACTACTCTCCTGGGGACTGTACAAACTCAGTATGGGATGATGGCCGCTGCCCTGAAGTTCTCATGAGCCTCTCACCAAATTCGCCCTTGTATGACCAGTAACCAGACTGGTAAATGAAAGCACTATAAGAGCTTCACCACCAACCCGCATCTTATCTCCTGGGGAAAAAAACCAAACAAACAAGCAAAACAAAACACAACATCATCTTCAAAACTGTGAAATGACTTCTACCCTTCAACTTATACAGCTCACTACTGGCCAGTGATTCAAACACTGTATTAGCAGTACACAAGTATCATATTTTATGATTGAAAGTAATTTGATTAAGTTTCCCCTGCAGAGAAGAAGTAACCTCTGACTTCCTACCTGAAATTCATCAAAACATAACAGAGCAGCCTCTTCGCTTATTTCCTCTGCTACTGGTGCAATTGGGTCGTATGATTTGGCCATAAATCCTGCCTTTCTTTTTGGCAAGCTCTGCTTAAGGCGATGTATTCCTGAGTTGATAAAACACAAAGGAACAAATATTTCTTATTTCTTTTTCTAAGATAGGGAGAACAAAATTATTCAGCTACCAAATAAAAAGTAACCCAGTCAGTAAAAATAAGAAAGCTTCAAATTTAGTCCAATTTCAAGAGACCAAAACAGTTCTCAACCACATCCAGGAACTATTAAAAGCTCACAGATTCTCCGATTCATATTTTCTTATTTAGAAATACGTAAAACAAAAATGAAAAGAACCCTTGAATGCTATGCACCTATACTTTATCTTTTAAAAACTGATATAAGTTACAATTGTATCTTGCTCCAATTTATGACATTAGTTTCAGTTTCACTTTGTAATTTGGCATTTTCTGTCTTAAGCTTCTCTCTAAGCATGAAAAACCCTTACGGTATTTACAAATCAATGGCACAGCTCTCTGCATTGCATGCTGTGAAGGTATACTTAGAAGGCATTTAGTTAAAAGAACTCAGACTAGCAACACAGTTATATTTTAAAATGTAAAGATCACTTTGTGCCAGCAGCATAAGATTATTACATCCATACTTTAGTGTCTCATGGATTGTATCCCACCTGACCATAAACAAACATTCAGAAAACACAGATACTGCAGTACCTTTGTTAAGACTAAGTACAAATGACAAGAAACGGAAACAGAAAATCTCAGCAGTGACCCAACAATGATAGAAAAGAGGGCACTATAAGTAGCAGAAGTTGTTTAGACCAGTGACAGCTTCCCAAGAAAAACGCAGCTGTCACAATACTTGTAAATTACAGCCTTTAACAATTTCACAGTGTCTTAAGGTCACAGAATTTAGAAACAGGATTAAATTTTAAAATATCTAAAACAGTGTTTTGGTCAAAACTAAGTGCCTTACCCTGTCAGAAAATTTTCTGAAACTTAGGAAGAGCTTCCTTTTATTATTTTTTCCTCTAAATTACTGATAGTATTACTAAGTTTGACAACCAGAAGAGTTCTCATTCCCCTTTGTGTTTATACCTGATTTAGTTATTGCTTATTCAAAATGCAGATTGAATTTAACCTTTACTGTTTCAGTTTTAGCAACTGCCTTCTTCATATTGCTAACTGGTAACTGGAAAACATTTAGTTCAGGATTTAAGCCTAAATATACATCCAAGTTTTCTATACAATCAGGTATACAGAATCTTTGAGAAAAGATACTTCAGAAATAACATGCAATTAATATCTACTCTGGTGTGACAGACAATGCTAAAATCCTTTAACTTGTCTCCTAGTTTTTGCTTTTTTTGCTTAAATACTTAAATAAAGTTACACTGATTAACATGAATATGAGAATGAGACAGACATTTTTATAGATGCAGTATTTTATAAAATTCTTTTAAATACCTGTGTCTGCACTTACTCTGGTGTACATCTAGCATGAAGCCATGAAAATGGACTCTCTTTTTCCTTTCTACTTCTAAGTGAGAATAGAACATGTCCATCACCATTGTCTTTCCTGTGCCTTCAAATAAAAAACAAAAAACCCACCCAACAGGTAGTTAATTTAAGAACAGTATGTACTAATTACAATAATGATTGTTCATTAGCTTTGAACTAATGAAACTATACTCTTCCACAGAATAAGTACAAAACCAGACTGTTTGTGAAGAACAGTTATATTTTCTGTTTTAAAACTTGGAATAATTGCATTTTTATTTTTCAGATTTAAAATTTTGATCCATACAGAGATGGCCCCAAGGTTGCACAAATGGCTTTGTATGCACCCAGAAAACATCCTTACTCACTTTTCAAAAGGAAGTACTACATTTTCATGCTGCATTGTTGCAATTAGAATATATAAATTCTCTCCATGACCCCCTCAATTACTTCCCAAATTCTTAAATTCCATTCTTAAATATTAGTGAGTGAGTAACACTGAAAAAACTGCACATGATAATGTAGTCCAATCCAACAGCTTCCAGAATTCAGAGTGTAATTGTTTAAATAACATCATAACATGGAAGAAAACTAATCCTGGAAAACTCATTAAAGCAATAATTTGACATAAACATAAAGCTTTTAGACACTTCAGAATTTAAATAAACACGTTTAGAGAAAATTCCATCAGAATTGATGCAACTGAAACTTACCAACATCTCCATAGACATAAAGACCTTTTGGAGGTTTGTTTTTTGCGAAGAGCTGCAAATCAGAAGAAAAAGAATAAATATGCTGTAAAGTAAAAGTAAGCACATTGCTGCAGTAAAGTAAGAAAGTACCTACACTTAACCACCAAAGTAGCACTAGCTAGTGAAGCGTAACCTTGAATAAATCATTAGCTCAGAATTGGTAAGCAATCTTAATGTTGTTATTTGTGCAAATTCTATAAAAGAGGCCAAACACACATGTGGGGTTTGGACTTTTTTAATATCATTGTGAAAATATCCCCACCGCCAGTTCTAACACACTCGCCTTTTCACAAGAATACATACAAAACGATTAAGCGTTTCCCAATCTATCATCATCAAAACAAATCCTTTTCCTCATTAAGTCATTTCAACAAACAGTCCTAGGAAAAAGGATATAAAATTAAGCAGTATTGCAGTATTCATAGATAGATGCAGTATATACCTATTAAAGCAGCTCTGTTTAACATATAAACAATTAGGACTTAGAAGATCAGTATTGCAAAGCCAGTGAGCATTGTAGGTCTCCTTTATCTCCACTTTGAATCTTAAATACAGAATCATCTCTGATTTAAATATTATCAAAACCAACAGTCACAGTAAAAATATGTACCTATTTACACATATATGTGTGTGTGTATATATATAAAAGGTTATTTTCAAAGTGTGCCTTATTAATTTTCTGAAATGAGTTACGTTTATCTTGAATTAATACTGCTTAAGAATTTTTAATTTCTTAATATTACTCAGGACATATGTTATGACACCTGATGGTTTATTCTATTTTACTTAAATGTATATTTTTATGGAAAAACTTGCAATAACAACAACTTGACTTACAATGTGAAACAGTTTCTGCCCCTCACCCCTATTATTGTGCATAGCCACTTCCAAGTATAATTCTAAAAAGAAACAATTTCTAAAACCTTGGAAATCTTACCAAAATTTCAAACCCACGAAACTGAATTGACAATCCACAAAAACACCGAAATGACCAAATATTGTTCTGTGAAGTGCTCCACTTTGAGATCTATGAGCTGAGCCAACACAGAGGAAAACTAAAATTGCAATCCTATGGTCTCATTTGGAGCTGAGTAATTGCTAAACAACTCGAATCTGAAGCGCTTTTCAAAATGCAGTGCCATGTTAAAGAAATGGGGGAGTCAGCAGCAAAACACTAATTAAATATGAAAGAAAGTATATGACCAAAAGATAGAAAGATAATGTCTCAGGTCTACAGCACCAGTTTATTCAGAAAATATGCAAGCATAGCTCTTATATAAGACCCACTTATAGATTTAATTTAGAGCTATATTAATAGGATAATAAAAAATTTGTACCATCAATCTGTGGCTGAACAGGGTTTCAGATGTTCTGAAGCTGTTTCATTAATAGACAAGGCTGCAACTATTTGCTAGTGCTTTAAAGCACTGCAAGGCAATTTAATTGATGAACATTTTTCAGTGTGTACTTTTTAAGAGCTTGAATTCATTAAAACTACTCATGCTCAAAGTTACACAGCAAAGAAAGGAGAAACAGAAAAAATCCAAATGAAAGAGACATTCAGAAGAATTTTTTTATTTTTGAGATTAACAACAGTCATTTTAACAAGATAAGACTATCATGTTAAATTTATTACATAAGAAGGTTGTATTGATGTGATTTGCAGTTTCACAAGGAATGACAGAAAGCTAGAAAAACAAATCAATATTTCAAGTACTGCTTTACCTGTCTTCATAAAGGTTATAAAACCAGAACAAGTAGTAATGCCTATATTTTTATACCATTTTTTCATTGTGTTTATTAAGTGTTTATAACCATCTTGAAGTGCATCTTTTTAAGCATATTTTATTCTCACTCCAATACTTACATTTCTAGAAAACATGTTACAGAAAAAGGGGTTTGGTTTTGCATTGGGTTTTTTTGCTAAAGGAAACAAATGTAATGGCTTTGGCTCCATAAAAGTCTAAGTCAACTTGGAGTTGATTTAAAAATTGAATTAATTCCTTTGCGAAAACAGCAATTTTTGAGTGATATCTAATTGCTAAAAAAATATGAATGGATGCTGTGGCAGACCCAAACACATTTGCTGAAGCTGATCATCTCCAGTAGTAAACTGAATGCCAGAAAAACTCTTATCCTCTTTGAGCAACTAAAGAAGTTTATAGGAAATATTTTATATATACTCCTGTCAGTGTATATATAACACTACTGACACTATTAGGAGACTCATTTTGTCAATCCTGTCAGGTATTGTATAACACTAAGACTTTATTTTTATATTCTTGGGTTGGTTGGGGGTTTTTTAACATTTTATTTATAAAAAGTGAACTCGATCAGTAGACTCTTAATACTGAAACTCAATCCTACTGGTCTCAATTTATTCTGCATGATCATAAACCAAATTTTTTTTTTTACTTTTTTTTTTTAATTATTCTTGTGCATCTTCTGAAGTCTCAAAGTTGCATAAGAAAAAGAACAACTTCCACTAGGATTTCTGATAAAATCCAATCAATGCTGTTGGTTCAATTTAGAGCACAGCAAGCAGTCAAGAAAGTCAGTGGTATGTGAAGGCAAAGAAAGCAGAAGACTGATCTCTTGAAGGTTCTGTTGTAACACACACTCCAAAAGAACAAGGAGAGGCAAAATCTAATGCAGAACATCCTCCGATTACCCTAAAATAAGGGTGGTCTTGTTTATTTCGGAGAGGGAAGGGAGAGAAGTGGGAGATGTAGGAAGACAAACTAAATGACTGAGCTTCTCCTCGTCCCTTACTTCCACATTATCCTGAGGTATATTTGGAGTCTCAGTATAACCACGCTCAACCACTCGAAAACAAATTTACTTTTGCAACAATGGTAAGATTGAAGGTTGTTAAAGCTAGCTAGCATTTAAAACACACAAAGCCAAAGATATTATGGGATGCTCAATATCTGAGTTTGCAGGGGAGAATTTAGAAATCTTTAAATCCATGTTTTGAATGCCCACCACATCCTTTCAGATGAGGGTATCATCACAAATACGTCAAATCCCTTGAATCCTCCAAGTTTCTTAACTCACATAACATTCTTTCCAATGATTTAAGAAAGCGTAACTGAAGTGCTTCACTGAGTCTCATTATCATCAGAACATGCTACAGCAGGAGCCTTTTTTCCTTTTATACATCAGTTGACTTAGAGACTTCTCTTTGAAAATCATTCATAAGCTGAAATATTTACAATTCCATAAGAGGACACACACATTAGTGTCCTCAGATTTACAGAATTCTCTTCTCTACTATCAAAATGTTTTACACATTTCTGTTTCAAAACTGCATGCCCTGCTTTGATTAAAGTGAAGTTTAAACAAAAAAGAAAAAACTAATTTGGTAGAATCAACCAATACTCTACCTCATCTAAAGAATTATATCGGCCAAAACATCTCCTTCATTCTGACAATTTCCTATTCTTTCTTAAATATCCTTAATTATGTGCAACATCTTCCCACCTTCTCCCATACTCCCTGCCTCAGACACCAGAAGCAAGCAACTCATTTCCTGGGAATATTTACACAGTGATTTGAGAAACTTTTAGGTGAAAATACATGTCAATACTAAGGTGGTTAATTAAAATATGCAAAATTCAAGAGACAAGCAGATTTTCTTTTAAACACTAACAAAACTGCCTCTTTCTCCTACTCTTTCAGACCTCCTTTTTGGCTGCCGTTGTAGCTGAAGACATTTTCAAGGTCTTGAATGGTGTTTACTATTGTTCATACCTCTTTTCAAAACATGACCTCACATATAATTGAGCTTATTTCACGTCATTAGTACAGCAACTCAACAACTCTTAAGATGTCCCAATTGGTATTATTTTGAAAAGCTAGAGATCTGAAACATCTATGCAAACTCCTATGGCCTTGAACTTCAATTCAGAGGATCTCAAAATATCTCAACATACAAGGCCATGCTTTCACCAAGTTGAAGATCAAAGTCATTGTTCAAATTTGAGTAATAATTTTGAAAAACAGAGGCCTACTTGGTTTGCAGCAAGACTAATTGTTTTTCCCCCTCAAATTCATTCTAAACTGATGCTCCAAAAAAACCTACATTGTAAAAAAAAAAATACATAGTTTTATTATCATAAAGGAAATGGCTGGTGTCGTGTCTCCTTCCACAAACTACTTATTTCAGAAAGCTTTGGCCTGTGAGGTAATACAAGTCTCAGATAAACACTGAAATGCTTCTATTGCAACTGATAGAAATATTTGTTCCCTAATTCTACTTTTACTATATTTTAGTCAATAAAACTATTTAGATAAAAAGTGACAAATGAAGAACAAAATCAAAAAGAAAGCAGACAATTCTTGTAATGGTTCAAAAGTGCAAGAAGTTTCTATTTCTGGAATAACTGTTATTTTAGAAGAGGCTTCTGCAATTCTATCACAGAAGAAATCAGGCAATAAAATAAGGAATAGCAGACCACAGAAGAGGCTGACAGAGAGAGGCTTCTCTCTCCTGCTCTCCCTGCTTTTCTTCACTGCAACCTCTCAACCACATTCTCTTCAGTGACAGAGCCAGGAAAAATGATCATGCTTGAAATGCCATGCACCACTGTTTTTTATTTCTAAAAAGCTATCAGTAGATTCTTTTCAACACAGGAGATTTCATACTAGAAGTAGGTTAGTCAAGTTGCTAGAAACCTCTTGAAAAAGCAAAAAGTCAATCTAAAACTAATATGTGTAACTGATTAAAGTGTTTGACTTATTTCCAAAAAGTCCTTAAGTAATTTAAAATACATCAATGTGTTTCATTTACATCTATCAAAACCCATTAAGTACAAAACGTTAAGCAAAACCAATGCCAATCATTTTATCATGAAAACAATTGTTAACATCTATAGTATAAGGTTTACCTTTTACTTCATAGCATATTCAAAGTTACAAAGTACCAGGAGAGTGCCTATGAGCTATTCATGAATACAGGATTTACCTGCGTCCTTTAGCATTAGTACTTCCTGGAGACACCTTCTACTAGCTACGTGAACTCCTTCCGCTCATAAGCCTACACAAATCCTATTAAATCTAGGCCAATTCCAGAGAGCAGTACTCGCCACCTCTTCTTGGCACGAAAAGTCTTTGTTCTACTCTTCAAAACTGAACCAAACCTACAACAGCATCCCTACCCTGAAAGTCCATCACAGAAAAACCTATTTTCTTTACTCAGAAAACTCCTCAACAGATGCGGACATATGACAAGCATACAATGCCACCGTATACAGCTGGTACAGTGCTTAATGGCTATGATCTTACCAACTACCTATTCACAGCTGTGACTCTTATTCTGGGGAAACCCTTCATTAAGGATGTTAATTACAATTTTGCTGAAGCAAAACCTGGCCTGCACTAGAATTTAAACCATACTTTATTTGGCTTCATTTTATCTCAAAAGGAGCTTTGTTTGAACTGGTGAATAACTTCCTGAGAGATAGCAGAATAGAAACAAAGACGTGACTTCTTTGCCATCATGAATCATGATCTGATTTAATTACCCAAGCTAGCAGGCTTTAACATATTTACACAAAACTCACCGCTCTCCTCCTTTCCAGAATTTTGATGTATGGCACCGCACCATAGTCCTCAACCTGGTTATCGATCTTCTTAAGATTTCCACAGAGGTATCAAGCTCTAGAAAAACACCCTCAAACTGCAACAACACTTACCCCAATAGCAAGTAATTCTACAGCTGCTTCTCACTGACTGCGGCATTAGTTCCCAGGTACCAGCGAGCCATGCAACAATTTTTAAAAGCTGGTTTAAAATTAAAGCATGGAATTGAAGCAATGTTAAATGAGAGAAAGGAGTGCTTTAAAGGAACTAGTGAAAACTACTTTCGTAACCTAAAAAATGGCATTTGACTTTTTCCTTTTAAGAAAGTGTCAGACTGGCTTTACTGCCATTAGCTCTGTTATACAGGGACAAAGTAGCATCACAATTTCCTAAATAGAATAAGATTAGTATTTGTTCTCTACAATAGAGACTTTCTTCCCTATTCATGCTTCCCAATCAAAGAAACAGTAAATAACAAACTCACATAATGCTTGATCTACAAAGCCATTACAAGACACCTGCTCTAACAACTATAATGATTCAGGGCACTCCAGTTAACACAAGTCAGCTCTCAAAACTATTCTCAAAGGCAGTGCTTTTAGAACAGAATATCCAAATGTCCAAAACAGTTTACCAGAAAAGATCAAGATGCTTTAGCCTACTGATCCTCAGGTTTGACAGCAAGACCAACGCCTTTGTCATATTTTCTAAATAATGAAAATTAATAAAAGTCTGGCAGTATGTCCAAAAGATCATGTAGGAAAAAGCCAGATAACTGGCTTCCTTTTGAGCAAATTCATCTTTAACAGTCCAGGTACTGTGTCTGAAAACAATTTTGAGACAGGCAATTTAAAAGATTATGAGACCAACACCAAGACTTAAAATGAAGCCCAGACAGATTTAAAAAAAAAAACAAAACAAAAAAAAAACACCCACAAAAAAAACACAAAACAAACTGAACTTTTCACATTGAGCATCCTCAAGACACAAAAATCCGGCCTACCAGATTACACTTAGAGAAGTAAGCTTCAATTCCTTACACTTACGTGCTCTTTCAGGCACACTGCCATATTGCTTTGGATACCAAAGATATGCAGTAACCATTTTTAAAAGAGGAAATTTCTATTTTTTACTTGGTACTTGCCCAAATTGAATCAGGAGACTGGTTTAGACTCAGGAGTTAGCCTACAAAGGCATCAAGACAACATGGATCCTCAGGCACACACCCACATACAATATAAATAAATGGTTTTAAATGCCATAAACATGTACTTTTCAGACTGTATCTGTCATTTTACACTGTTTCTATGTTATTAATAGATTCTAATTAAAGAAATACCAAAAGTAAAAAGCTAAGTAATGTGATGAGCTGACTCACCAGCAGGTAAAAATGGAGCCAAACAATGTTTTGGGGTATAATTCCCACATTAGAGTCAGAATCATGGAATGATTTAGGTTGGTAGGGACCTCAGGGGACCATGAAGCCAAAGCCCCTGTTTAAAGCTAGCTTAACCGCTTTCAGAACAGAACTTCCAAAGACACACTCATTGCCCTCTAGGATCCGTCTTGCCTTAGCACTTTGATTCCTGCACATCCCCACTCTTGTGTATCTCCTTCCAGAGTGTCTGAATTCTGCTCCATGAATTATTTCCCATTCAGGTTTCTTCTCACTGTAGCTCAAAAAAAAAAAAAAAAAGAGAGAGCTCCTTCCTAGGTATCTAGTCTGCTTGCTTTCATCAGGAGGCAGGAAGGCATTTACAGTATTTCCAGTCAAGCATATGATTAGCAAATATAAGATCTCCAGCTATGAATAGGAGTTTAAAGCATTCAAGGGATGCTGGACACAGTTTGATAAGCAAGCATGTGCCCCAACACCCTGCACTCTGCTATACTTGTCTGCTTGAAACAGGCACGTTTACAAGTATAGCAGAGCCCCTTTACAGGTATAATACTTGTTCTCATGCCAACGTTCTCTCCTCTATTTTTGTAATGCCTTGAAGTCAATATACATCGCAAGAGCCTTGAAGGGGTAACTTGTCATTTGGTGCCTAAAGGGCAGATGACCGCACGACATTTAGAGGCACATGAGTCCTGTAGGCTTTGGCTCCCCTGATCTCATGCTATATTGTTTAGGCTTGCCATGCAAACAAAATGCAGCATTTGTGCCAAGTAACAGGATAATTTGGGGTTGTGATGGGAACTATACGGCTAGGTAACAAGTCCAACAGAATTAGATATTTAGATTTATGCCCATGAGATGAGGTGCATTGCAGAACAGATGCTGAGAAAGGCTGATGTGGAGATTTATTAGCAGAGTCTGCAGCTGATGACATACACTGACTGTAAACGTGAAAGTTACTTCTGACAAAAAATAAAACCAAAAGTAGTACAAGAGAAAGAGAGAAAGAAAAATGAGAACATGCAGTGGTTGGTTCTGAGGAACAGTGACAGCTTCCAGACATCCCCTCTTAGGTATAGGGAGATGTGTCTCCTGCACAGGCAGGCAAAGTGAAGATGATGATAGCAATGAATATTTTGCCATGCTGTTTTCCCAGCACTATACTTTTATCATCAGACTCAGTCAAACGCCCTATTGTTGTTGTTTCTCACACACACACGTTTATGACTATTTGTGCTGACTGGAGTATGTTAATCAGGTGCAAATGAAGCATATTCACTGGTTGTTCAGCTTCTGTGCACAACTATGATTGCCTAATGTTTACCAAGAATTTAAATTACTATTATCTACTTTGCTGGGCACTGTGTTTGGTTTTCTGGGATATAAACTCAAATGTACAAAACAAGAGGCAAGGAAAGCTGAGAGGGGATTCTCACACCAGTTCCAGTTACTTCCCATGAGAACCTGCCATAACAACATTATCAAGATTTGCAGGTGCAAGGCCACAAGAGCAACAATCTGAGAATAACAGCGTGAGAACAAGACGTGAAAAATACTGCTGCAAAGGCTCTGGAAAACACTGCGTCAACAGCTTCAGGGAAAAGTTACAGAGCTACAACAGCAGGCTATTAACACTACTAATGCTAAGGCACTATGGTTGCCAAGGCACTGTGCAACAGCAATATGTCTGAATTTTTGTTAATACTTTGAAAAGGAGCTGTAATACACCCAAAACCACAACTGGGGTGCACATCACACCTCTGCCTTCCTTCCTTACCTCAGCTAACTAATAACACTGGAAAGAATGCACTACTTTCGTTTTTTTTAAAAAGTCATGTCTGATCTATATTACAATGTTTTTCAAACATAAGTTATTCAGCTTGGATTATTTAGACTCTGTTGGCTAATTTCACTTATATTCATGGAAGACTTGTTAGAACACAAAATATGAGCACTTGGTATGTGTAACCCAAACATACATACATTATACCAGCACTTGAGAGTTAAAACCTGGTCTAGGCCCTTCTCTCCTATAGCCAAATGGCATTTTGGGAAAGACAGACAGTGGACACAACCAAAATCATATCAGATTTTCTTATAGAATTATTTCAATAGTATTTAATTTTGTTGCTTCTAGAATGCCACTGGAATTTTACAAACCCAAAAAAGAAAGAACAGAGATTCAAACACAAACAATGATCTATCTGTAAAGACCCAGCTTCAGAAATAAGACTCATGTTAATGATAGAAGTTTATACATTTTTAAGCACATTCTTATAAGCAAACATAAATGCAAAAAAAAAAAAATTATCATTATAAACCTCACCTTTGAAAGAAGATTTTTTGAACTGATGCTGTAGCCTTTAAGGCTCTCGTGTAACTTCTGCAGGTGCTGCACAACTCTTCTTTGTTGCTCATCACTCTTCAGCTCTTCTTGCTTAATCAGAAAGTCATAATGTTCTAGAGGTCCGTTGCAAACCAATAAGGCTCTGGCATTAGCATCTGTAGGAATACCAGGGACTGTCTTCTCATCTGCCTGAGCTGTGTACACTGTAAAATGAAAAACAGATTATTAATAGAAAAGTTTTGAAAAGCATACTGTCCTATTCATAAACAACAGACTTTCTGAACAGTTTACGCAAAGACATACATACATTACTTACCCATACAACCACTAAAGTATATTAGCCCATTTTTCATTAAATCAACTTCTAACTTCATTAGCAAACATCTTAGTACTATGTTTTAACATTTTTTTTATATATATATTTAACAAACACACACACACTAAAAAGCCCAGTTGGAGAGTTGGTAAGATTTGGATGAGCTGTTGCAAGGGAAGTTTTGACCCATTTCTCTACCCCCACCCCCAGATCGGGACAAAAACATTTAAAAATTCCATCAATGCATTTCTCTGAGTAGAGGAATCCTTTGGAGAGAGGTCGGCTAACCTAGACAGAACAAATTTAAAGCCAGCAAACAGGAGAGCAAAACAGGAGTTCTGTAAGCAAGCTGAAAGAGCCAAAGACCACACCAATTGAGGCAATAGCTGTGAAGCCCTGCAATGCACAGGCTGCTCTGCTGGCATTATCTTCTGCCTAGAAGAGCCAGGGCCGTGCCCAAGCAGGAATTCTGTTTTGGGGGGGGGGGAAGTTGTCAAAATTGCTAGACATAAAATGAGATATAACTAGGAAAGGAAACAACATACAGGATTACAAAGAAGGTTTGCAAAATCAGTAAGATCAGAAAGTTAACAATGGGATACACTGAAAAGGTGCTTAATATCTTCTTTGCTTCTGCTGTCATTCAAAAGGTTAAGTATAATCATGAGTAACACAATTTGTAGCAATGATAAAAGAAATAAAGTAGGAAAAACGTATATCATAGACTACATAGTCAGAAATTTTGAACATTGTGAGATCTAAGGAAATTCATCCTTAAATGCTTTAGGTAAGTTTCCTAAGCAACACAATGGCCTCCAACAATTTTCTTGGAGGCCTTACTGAAGGCAGGTGAGGTTCCAAAACACTAGGAAAATGAAACAATTTTTGTCTTTAAAAAGGAGATAAAGGAAAATCCAGAAATTCATAGGTCAGTCAACACAACTTCAAGCACTCAAAAATAGTGGAACAAGTACAAGCAGGTTTTGTTGTGGTTTTTTTTTTTTTAAAAAATAAAGTATAGACAAGATAACAAATAAAAGGCAACACCAGTTTCTCAGGAACAGTGTGAGATCAAGTTTTCCTCTCTGATCAGATAACATTCTCGGTGGGTAGAGGAAAACCATCTTAATTGCAGTAACACTTTTGTCATTGGTCACATAGCATTCATATATAAAGTAGGAAAGTAAGTTGCAAATGAAATTACTTTTAGCAGGTACAAAAACAGCTAGAAAAACTACATGTAATTAATTTAACTACAGTTAAAATAGGTGCGTATTTGCAGTTTCAGAGAGGGCTCAGCAGTTCATCTCGGTGCAATCCAGAATTTCCACACACAATCTGTATATGGCAAAATAAAGTAGATGGACTGGGAATGCAGGTAACGGCAAGTCAGCAGGACACTGCACACACTGTGGAAGGCAATGCTGACAAACAAGACAAAGAATCTCATATAAATAGGACGCAATTCAACAGGGGCAAAACATGGTGCTGAGGGGAAATAAATAACTGAACTTAAGAGATGGGGAATGACCAGCTAAAGAGCAGTTCTGCAGAAAAGGATCCAGGGGCTTCACTGGATCACAAACTGACAACGAGACACTATCATAACACTATTGCAGAAAAAACATAAAATAAAATAAAAACCCCACAAGTACTCCAATGTATATACCTAGTGGAGGATGTCCCTGCCCATGGCACAAGGGTTGAAACTAGATGATCTTAAAGTTCCCTTCCAACCCTAAACATTCTATGATTCTATGCTATGAGGGGCAATATAAGCAGACATGAATAAACCCTGCTCTATTCAATAATGGTAAAGTCTGCCCTGGAACACACTTTTCAATTTTCACATCGTATTTCATGAGCGATATGGACTAAGTGGGAGAGTAGAAGATTATTTAAAGGACTATTTGTTAAACCATGGGTCACAACCCACAGAGAATTTGTAAGAGGCACAAGAAGAGTTTTAAATTGTTGTAAGAAACATAAAATGAATATAGCTATAAAAGAGAAAGATAAAACTGAACAATTAGATCAAATTATGTCTCTTTATTGCAAGTAGCACCTTAGCCTCTCCAAAGCAAGGCAGTTACTGTTTATATCTGCAGTAAATAATTACACCAAATTCTCCTGCCCTGAAGGAATTGAGTTACTGCTATGAATTAAAATTAGTTCATCCTTAGCTAAAGAGATCACATAAAGAGTTTGAAGTCTGTTATTGCAAAAATTTGAGTAAACTCTTTAGAGAAGACTAAAGAAAAGCACACAGGTGTCTCCAAATGCACACTGGGTACTGAGAAAAGGAAATAAACTGTACTTATACAGTTACCTTAATAACTGTAATTAAGGCAGTGAAATCAATTAATAGTCTAGAAGTTGTAAAACTTACATCAATGGGGAGTGAATTTTAAAAATGAATTTGAAAAAAATATGTCAGGAACAGGTCAGCAACACCTGACCCGCTTCCAAAGGGAAGGGTGGAAACACACAGATGATCTCTCGAAGTTTTTTCATCTTGTTTTCAACCATTCCACATAAAGTCAACCTCAGTCCTGTGATCTGTACCTCTAAACTATCTGTGCCTTAGCAACACACAGAGCTTGATGGCTCTGCAAGCCCCAATGTGATGGACACCCAGTGCACCATTACACCATTAGACCTATAAAGCTGTCAGTTCCTACTGCTTACCAC